ATTAAGCAGTAAAGTGAATTTACATTGTTACTAGTAAGCTGTTAGATTCGAAGAAATGTAATTTTGTCAATAGCTACAAACATTTCTGTTAATCGAATGAGGGTTAATAGATTAAGTAATAAAATGCGTTTGAGACAAGAACTTAATGTAGTCAATTAGTAATTACAAAGTGTATTGTGAATGTTGAAACTTATATCATTGAATTTACGCTATTCTTAAAAAATAATTATTCGTCTTTAAGAGAGCGGCTTAATTAAGTCAATGCGAAACTTTTCTTTATAACTGGTAAAGTAAATAATTTGCTAATTAACAAAATTAAGACGTTGTCTGAAAAGATTATAAACAATTAAATGATTGAATCAAGATAAAAATGTAGAACATTTTATTAATATTAAAGAAATTGGACGAAAGCTAATTGAATTAACTTTTAATTGGTTTGTTAGATCGCTCAAAATACTTGATTGAGTGTCACATTATTCAATTAGCCTACCTCCGAAGATCATCATCTTAATTTTATTATAAAATTTTAGTAAATATTTACTTAAGGTTTATTATAGTATTTTCTCTTTCACTCTCTTTATATCATAATATCGCACCAAGCTCACCTTTAACTCAAACAAATTCCATATTTTCGTGATTGTCAACTCATTTCCTGTTTTGATTATTATTATTGTTCAATTCATTTTATTTATTGCCTGCCCTTACAATATTGACATTTTCTTATTAGTATATTTTATTTTATTTAAGTTTTTATTGTCGTTGTTTGCACACACCTCATTTTGACATCGTCAGAATTAATTAAAATACTTAACTATGCAAGATTAATATGGGCGACGCGGAAGTTGTACTTTAAAGAAATAATAAAAGCTTTAATAAAAGCAAATTAAAAGGAATTCGTTTAATCTCTAATGCGCGCAAATTAAACAACAAACACAGTAAACTATTTTCGAAAACGCCAATATAATTTCATGCTAAACGCCTTGTCCGAAATATTTCGAAGAATCGAAGAATAGCCAGTTATAGTTATTAATGAAAATTAGCAGTAAAATGAACAAATAAAACAACTAATAAATTTGCTATTGTGGCGCGTCGACATATTGTTGATTTGTTAGTCAGTTATTAGTTTATATCTATAGTGTAGGTAATATGATACTAGCGCTTCGACGTATGTGTTCATGAGTACATGATTTGAAATTTATGATCAACGGCTGCTGTCATATTTTGTCATAAAACTCCGTATTTTTATTTGCAGATAAACAGCGCGTATTTCTAGTGAGCTGTTAACCTTCAAATATACTTTTCTTTGTTGTAATTAATTATTTATGGCTTATTAAATGAATTTTATACGCTCTAGAGTACAGAGCAATTCGTAAAGTGTTGTGCAGGGTTAAGAATGTTATAATTATATTTAAATTTGTTTTCATTGCTGTCAAACCTGTACTTCTTGACATTATATAATATTATAATAGGAATAGTAAAGTGTCTTCATAAAATTCAAATAATTTCCCTTATGCATCTTATGGCCAAAAAACCTAATTAACTTGGCATGTCTTTTATTTTAAAATGATCGTTGCTTATCGAAATAGTAAGCTTGATAAGGCACCTAGTATGTAAGGGCCCTAAACGGGATGGCATCGCTCCCGTTTTACAAGAAAATTTTGTTCAGCGATAAAGTTCACTTTTGAGTGAATAATAAACGCCCACGAGCCATTGCTAAGACGCCGTTATATCCTCAAAAAGTCACTGTTTGTTGTGCTTTATGCCTCAGAGGGAATCATTGGTCGACATTTCTTTAAAAATTAAGCCGACCATAATGTTATATACGATGGAGATCGCTATAGCGCCAGGATTAATGACAAGGTGAACCTGGTTTGGTTCCAATCAATAGCGCTATATGCAATACAGCCAATGAAGCAATTAATTTATTGAAGAATACTTTTGGTGAGAGGCAAACTCTTTTCTTTATAATTAAGCTAAATTCTTGGATATACCATTAAATTATATTAATACTGTATTGAAATATGTCACAAATAATACTGATAAAGCTTAGTATTCTGAGAAATGTGTTATCCCTACTTATGCTTGTTGTAGGTATTTAAAAATTACTCAAAAGTACTAAAGAAATGTGATTTTAGTTATTCTAAATATGTTCTAAACAGAAAACAGGAACAACATTTTTGAAAATTTTATTTCAAAAAATACTGAAATAACAACAAACATATTTGAAATCCAGATTTGTGCATTTTTCCATTAAAATGGAAAAAATTTTGGTTCAAAAATAATATATAAACATTCTACAAAATACTTGAACAATTGACAGATCTATAAGAAATCGTCATCAGATCTTTATATTAACGCTTTTTTGACACACTTATTCAATAATGTCCTTAAATCAGGTCATAATTATTATCTACCGTGGCATTAAAAAAAACCGACTCATCTGTAAATATTTACATACTCAGGTCTGCCTCTATATAAGTGGTTTAGATATATAAAAAAAAGGTAAGCCTTCACCCATATATTTTGGAACATTTTACGCGTTTTTATTAAAAAAAAAAATAAATAGAGGCAACGCCTCATGCAACGAAACATTAAACAAGAATACAATGTTTATGCATACTCTAATATTTTTAACCATTACTCAACGCCTTTCGCTTGCATGCAACACAAAAGCGAACAATGAGTGCGGAAAAAAATTAACCTTGAAAAATTCGCCATAAGTTACAGGGTTATGTGTAAATTCACGCAAATAACTGTGGAAAAAAATTATATACAAATGTCAGCAAAACAAAGCACTTACCTAAGGAAGCGAGTTTTTATAGAATAAAATAAACGCATGCGCGCTCGCCTTTCAATAACTCGACCGTGCAAGTCAAAACGTTATGCCAATTATTCGCTGTCTCTTGTATGGAAGTGCATATACGGTTAGTTTTTTAGTAGAAATATTCGAGAATTTGCAGCGTTACCTTCACTTTTTACCGATTTGCATTATCCTTTGATGTAACTTTTTATTTGCTGTACTGTTAATGTTAACAGCGTAAGCACTGTTAAGCGTTTGAGTGCTGTTAGCAGGGTTATTGTGTGTATATTGATGATTTTGTTGCTAGCAAACAGCTTGGGTTTCATTTCGTACGCACGTTCCTTTGCAATTTTTTACAACAACACCACAACCCAATGCGTGCGCGCTGAATTTGCCATTTCGGCTCTTGGTGTTGTTGCCGCTGCACTTTAGCGCATTTTTCCGCTTAATTGTTCGCTCTTGTTTCTCGATTGTCACCTAAATAGCCGCAGGTAAGCTTGCCGCTGCAAAGCGCAGTGTGTTCGTTTCCTGTTTTCGCCAGTCTCGCCCCTTGCGCTATTCTTAGCGCAAACAGTTTTTGTTCTGTGGCAAAACATACCGCCCCATTTTTGACAAAAATCTTTGCCCGTTATGCATTCAGCGCGCATTTTAAAACACGCATTCTTTTACGGCAAACATGCCGCCCACGGATTCAAACATAACGCCCACTTTCCAAACATTTCCATACACATGCGCGTCTTGCGGCGGCTTATGCTTTTTGTATGCTATTTTCGGCAAATATCTTAGTTATTATTAGCAAGTAGTTCGATTATAGTAAAGATACACTGCAAGCTGTATACATAAACACACCAACTCACATATTAACACTTACAAATACTTATACACCAGCAGTTTGGCTAACTGTTTAGTGACCTCGTTTCTCTTCATTTTGCGAATTTGCCTTGCGTTGTTGTTGTTACACATAAACTAGCAATCATTTAAGTATGTCTACACATTCACCACACATACGGCTACACTAAAAAAGTCCTTGAGTCATTTAGCGGTGTGCAAATTGCATCCTTTGAGCCATTGAGTCTTTGTGGCATTTGTTACATTTACTTGTTGCAAACCAAAAGTGTTCTTTGCCATACTTCTCCTGACTTTTTTTAACAGCAACTAACGCTAAGACTTTTTTAACGTCGAGCGCGTCGCTTGTTGTTGCTTACCTCACATTGCCATTGAAGCCGCTGGCTATTTTTTATTATTTCCCTGAGTTTTTTTTACAAATTCCTGTCGGCTTAAAGCCCTATTTTCTATGTTTTTTACGCAGACAAAGCCTTTCTTAACATTTTTTAGTGTCTTTTGCTTGCATGACATGCCGTTTTTTATGTGTTTTCTATATTTCTTTTATACCTTTCATCGTCCACTGTTTACCTTCCGTTTCTTATATGAAATTGCGTGCTTCCGCGAATCATTTGCTCTGAAATTTCGCTGACTTTCTGATCTGCGTTTAGCGTATTTGTATTTCCTTCATTTCTTTCGTCTGCCTATTTGACTTTCTTCGTTTTTTTTGTTGCCTTTCGCTTAACACAACATTGCCGACCTTTTTGGTGAAATGTTTTTTACGCTTTCCTCGAAATGCTTTACGTTGGCAAATAAAAAAAAATGTTGTATGTTATTCGCATAAAGGATTTTTTTCCAAGGCAACTGCATTTTCTTGAGTTAAAGGTTTTCGAAATACTTTGTTGGTCATATCTACAGAATTAGCTGACAAATACTGATTTTCGCAATACTTTCAATTATTTTGGATTTCATCGTAAAATTATTGAATAAAGCCTTTTATTTAAATTCACAATTACCTTACCCGTATATTACTGACAATTGCATAGATTTTTCCGACATATTTGTTATGCACCGATTGCATGACCCTATAACCTTGTTACTGTTTGAAATGAAAGTTGACGCGTTGGTCATTTGGTATACTAACTCATTATACTAACTCATTGTTAATACAAATTTTGTTAGTTAAAAAACGTAAAAAGTGCGGCTAAAGGCCTGCAGACTTCCACGAAGTTCAATGTATAGGATACATAGAAATATGCGCAGAAATCATCACATTATTTGGTCAAATATGGAAGTCATATTCTTACAACTAAAAGATAACTGGTTAGTCAAGTAATTACGAAAAGTACTGACATGCATTTACACGAAATTTTTTACCGTATTCTTTTTATCCAGAAATCTTGTTTCGTACTCCAAAGTGGGCTTCCAGTTAAGAACATTTGTAATATGCAGGATTTGCTCATATTATATAAGGACTATTTTTAGGATATTTCATTAAATATTATCACAGAAGTTGTAAATTAGTAATTATAACAAAAATAATACGCTTTTGTTTCCAACTTACAGTTTGTTGTTCCAACCTTCAATATTTTTACTGAAATTTGATTATTTTGATCTCTAAAGCTAGTCTCCCAAGCTGTTTACCGCAATCGTTTTTCCAACCTTAGAATGCCACGGTTTCGGTGGCTAACTCGTTTTGAGCCCATTCACCAAACATGCGACGCGCTCGATAGTCGTTCGGCTGCAATTATTGCACGAGTTGGACTTTGTAAGCCCGCAAACCAAGACTCTCCCGCAAGATCTTTAAACAAAAATAGCTACAGCACATCAGCTTAACTTTTGAAATGACTCACACACATTACCCGTTATGATTCAGTGCGCATGATTTCTCTAAAATTCACTAAAAATGTTCAATTAATTAAGACGAAACATTTCTAAAAACACAATTGACGCGTTAAAACTTGTTCACATAACCAAACGAATTTGATAGATTACCCTTTATTATGTCATCGGAGCAGAATTTTTGTCATATGAACAAATGGGAAGATGATTTCAGCAAAACTTATATGTTAATAGTTTAGAAATTTATATAGAAAAATCTGAAATTAAATAGTGAGTATTAAATGAGTCAGCGGGAATTTTGAGACTCGTAAATTTTGCTACTAAAATTTAGTTGGGTTTTCAGACTAACTGAATGTGAATAATGTTTTAAGTTTTGTGCAATAAAATTTTCATCAAATAAAGGTGTCTTTTGTAAAAAGCAATGAAATTATAAGTACTTAATATTATTAAAATAAATTTTTTATAATAAAATTATATATTACTTAATACTATAATTTGTTTAATGGAATATGAGCGATTATCCATTTACAAATTACTTCACAAAATATTGCTTGAAATGATTAATAAAGTAGTGACTTCTTGCTTGATTTACTAATTTATAGCTTTATTAAATTTTGAATTTACAAAATATTCTATTTGATGGATTTTGCTAATTCATTACATACATATACCCTGTACAGTGTATATTAAGTATGCCACAAAGTTTGTAAGACATAGCAGGAAACGTCGGACACCTCATAAAATATATATATAAATTAACAGCATGACGAGATGAGCTAATTTAGCCATGTCTGTATGTCTAGCCGTCTATATTTCTATACACAAACTTGTCCTTTAGTTTTTGAGATATCGTTTTGAAATTTTGCGCAGATCCTTTTCTCTTCAGAAAGCTGCTCATTTGGCGGAGTCACTGGTATCTGACAACTATAGCATATAGCTGTCATACAAACTGACCGATCAAACTGAAATTCTTGTAAATAGCATTTTGTATTAGTGAAGGGTATTATAGCTTCGGTGCCATTGAAGTTAACATTGCTACTAATTTTAAGTATTTTATTATTTATTATTTCTGGTTTAATTGCGATTAATCAAATATTTTTTTTGGATAATTTCTTAAAAATTAGCAGCAACTCTGAACAAAATAAATTATTACTTGCTAATTTTTATGTTATGTGTATGTATATATTATTTATTTTTCATATTATAATGTACATAAATTGGTAACTGTGCCTTGTTTAACACTATACATCTATATACCTATAAATAAGCTTATACATTTATGTACTAATACAAAAAAACACATATATGTACATAAAACACATTGCTTGTCACGTACAAGTGGTTTATTGGGTGTAAACTCCGCCCATTTATTGAGCCCGACGATCAGAAAAAAAATGTTGAGCTTGAGTATTGATTACAAATAAAATAAAGAAAAGAATACAAGCTGCAGACAAATACAAATGAGTACATAAAAAAGTTAACAAGACAATAGCGGGGAACCAGTTGACAGCCTAAGCCAACAAAAAATACGTATCAGGCATGACGGCTACTTATATCTACATAAATATCAGTAACATGCACGTACTGACAGAATTTTTATACCATATATGTCTATAGCATTTTAAAAAACATAAAGCATATGTATATACACACATGTACATTTGTACAGTTATAAATCGCATCAAAGATATCAAATTGGCGTGCTCAAATAAAGCTCAAAGTAATTGCAGAGGTAAAGTAATTAAAAAGGTGTATATGTAATTATAACAGACATACTGTTATTGATGAAAATTGTAAATATGTATGCGAGTACATAATGTAAAATGCATATGTGAATACATACTAGCTGACAGTTGGTAGCAATACAATGCTTACCAGGCCAATAACTTTACATAGCACTAAGCCCTCAAGCATGGCCAAACTTTAGTTTTAATAGCTAACATAGCTTCACAGATGTTGTACTCTCGTTTGTCATATGTTAAGCAAATGTTAAGTAATAATATGCTGCTGTACATTACAGCAGTAAACTTAGATTTCATTTAATACTTCCTGTGTAAAAAACATTTTTAACAGACATTAGTTAATACGCTGTTTTATTTACAGCTTGGCTATAATATGGAAGACGGTTTATTCACTCATGCTAAAAAATTATATTTTATCATACCTGAATCTGATAATTGTAATTAATATGATTTTAGTGTATGATTCGCTCTGATGTATATTGTTTACGAAAAATGACATGTACAACATTAAAAAAAAAAAAATTTGGAAAGAAATTCTAAAATTGTAATTAATTCTTAATATTGATTTTTTTATAATTTATTGAAAAATTTAAATAATTACAACATGCTTAGAATTTTAAATTTTGATACGATTTCGTGTATACTTGTGTACTTAATTACGCGTAATTTATACAGATTTTAATATCTTTCATGGCCAGTTTTTAGGTTTGGGAAAATATTAATACTTTTGTAAAGTGTAGTTTTTTCTGGATTTTTTTTGTAATAAAATTGAAGTCCAGCATTTACGAGTATTAGATTCTAACTACTTAACTCTTTTTTTCGAAGCGTCGCTAAAAAAAGTATGTATATAATTAAAAAAATAATAATAAAGTTAATAAAAATATGTAAGTTATAATTATATATAAATTGAAGTGCCAACATTTTGTTCAGAAAACTTATTATAACTTCCACAAAATTCTGCAGAACTAGTTCGGATTCAAATTAATCTTAATAAAAATTTATTCTAGGTATATATTAGTTTAGGTCTTAAATTACAGACCATGCCTCTGGGGTATTCAAAGTTTTAGAACTACCTATATTGTAGAATATTGAAATAAATAATGCAAGGTAAGAGAGAACTGTTATGAAGAATATTTTAAGAAAATAATAAAAAATTAAAAAATAAAATAACCGAAAATTAGGTAAATTAAAATAAAATGAAATATTATATATTTTCGAAATATTGTCTCATAAATCAAACAAGTCTAATTTTATAAATGCTTTTACTTCATAAGTGAAAAGTCTCTTCTATGCAATTATAAGTAACTATACATATATGTGTAATATATTTTATATAAAATGGTCTTATGTTTAAAAAATTAATTTACAGTATATGAAATATATTCCAATATATTAAGTTTTTTTTTTCAAATATCAAAAATTTTATTGAAAATGTGTTCAAAATTCTGCATAATCTAACATAAATTGCAAAAGACATTAATATCAATGCTTATGTCCACAACAGTCTGCTTTTGCATTTCCTTCACATATTTGAAGTGTTAATAGAATATCATTGAGTTAACATTACCAGTTAAATAGCACTACTCAACAATAATATGCTCATTAATTGGCAACAGCGCCACTTTCAACATAAACAGATCACATTGAGCGCTGTTAATAACCCGCTGTTATTTGCTTACATTGTACATGTTAGTAGTCAGAAATCACTGTTAAGTCAATATGTCGATGCAGCAGCGCGCAAGTGCGCCGCCAGCAACGCTGCTACAGCCATTGCGCTGCTGCAGTCAGCGCTGCTTATTGCTCTCTGCGCAGCGATCACTTCAACTGTTACTGTTACTGCTGCTGAGCCAATACGCTCACCCGATGATGACAGCAACGATCGTGCTAGTAGTGGTGTTTGATAGTGGTGGTTGTGGTGCTGGTGGTGGTTTGTGTTTCAAGTCTTTTGTTTTCTTCCAACTACATATGTACAGACATATTGTATATGAGCGAGTATCGCCGTCTCTGCTGTCATACGAAGTTAACTGCAACACTAACTGCTGCCATTTGGCTTATAGGGTAGCGCTGTGGCATGGCTTGTACGTGTGCGCATATTGAAAATATGCTTCTTGTAAGACATTGAAAGTCACATCAACTCAGTTGTCTGCCAGTAGTCGAAGCGAAGTAAACGTGCAGCGCGCGAAGTAAGAGCAAACCTTATGATTTGTTATATGAGAGAAAAAAAAAATTATATAAAAGTGATTAAACCAAAAAAACGGGGTAAACAACTGCGAAGACTAGTTTCGTATTTAAGCTTCCAATTGTGAAAAAAATAAGTTTTACACACAGACATATGTATATATGTATATTTGTGAAGTGGATTATAAAATATAATAATATAAACTCTTATTGCTAGCAAATTTATTTTGTATTGCAAGTGATAACTGATTGACAGTGTGGTAAGAGCGTGGTTGCAAGTCAAAGAAATCAAAGCGTGAAAATTTTGAAAAAAAAAAGAATTTTTGAGAAAAACATTTTGGAAAAAAAGTCGTAAATATTTTGTAAACAAATTTAAGAAAAAACTATTAACAATTTTTAAAAATTTTGTGTTTCTTGAAAAGGATTTACTTTACTTCAAAATAATACTGCATTGGCCGCAGAAATTGTGGTGAACTACTCTCTAAGTCAAGTGCTAAATTTGAAAAAAAAAAAATATTAACTTAAAAATACCTGAAGTCGCGCGAATTTCGTAACTTGGAGCAGTGCTTGAACACAAGACAGGCCAATAAATATCATTTCAAGGTGAGTCTAAGCTTCTTATATAAAAATAGTCATTTATTGTTATTTTGGTTGTATCTTAACTAAAATGTATATAAAATTTCATTATGAAATGAAGTCACTAAAGGATTCTAGTTCAATTTTGAATAAGCGCTGTTGACAGCTACGCTCTAAGCTGCTTCCTTAAAGTGACTACAGTTTATGTACTCAAGGCTCTGCAATTAGTAAAAGTATATTTCTGAGACACATATATGCATTTTCACACACACACACATCTATGTATTTACGCCTATCACCATTTAGACACACGCCTACTGTAAAGTAAAAATTAGTGCATTTGCTCCTGCTCACCCAATACGTTATTAACAGAATGCAATTTCAACGCTGCTGCCATCCACTCTTGTTAGTATAATAGAAAATCACCTACACGCCTATTAAACAACCGTGCAACATGGCGTATTTTCGATTGTCCATTGCTTGCGCTTGCGGTTTCATGGTTTGCACTGCAAGCCGATCGCCATGCAATCTAATTTTCAGACAGAAACTAGAGCAGCTCAGCATAGAAGAGCCGCACAGGTAACAGCAAACCTTTGCGACCTACATACATACATATATGCATATGTTTCTACCAACTGTTGTATAATGCTTTTGCTAGGCGTTGTCACATATAATTATAATGCGCTCTAAGCAACCTAAATATCAACGAAAACGAGCGCGGGGGAGTTGCTGCACAAAAAATAAAAACTGTAAACACGCGGCGGTGTGTGGGTAGTGTTCTTTGTTTGGCAGGATTATGAAATACCTGTGCGAAAAATAATTAGTTTACTAGTCCTTTTTTGGAATTTTTAACAGTGGATGATTTGTTTATGTGCTTAACAGTGAACTATAAAGCGCGCACTGTTGCGTGTTTTATAACATAATTCAGCTTAAATACGCTAAAGTAATTTTAAATTTGGATTGCTTGAAACTGATATGTACATATATGAAATATTATACAAAAATTTTTGAAATATTTACCAACTCAAAATTTTTAATATTTCAAATATTCTATATCTATTTGCTATGCCTTGACTGTACAAAATTAGCTGCAAATATTACCAAATCACTGTAAATCGCATTTTCACGCTTTAATTCGCTACAAATTCATGCGCAGTCGCATAAGCGTTTCTTGTAAAATATTTAAAAAACAAAAAATGTCATAAAAAATGGCACTTTGAGGCAAAAATCAAAAATTAAATTCGCAATGCAATAAATAGCATGCAAAAAACAGTAAATTTGGGCACAATCGCAAAAACACTTATTCTGAATTCATTCTTACTTAAAAAACGGCAAACCACCCGCTGTGCCATGCATGTACAGCGCATGCGCGTCAAGGTTACGTCTACGGTCTAGCAAAGAGACAAAGGAACCAAGCGTGCGAAATCGCTAAAAAAAGGTTTCGTCAACTTTGATGACAGCAAATGTTAAAATCATTAAAATAAATGTATCAAATAAAAACTTAAGTAAATCAAAAATGTTAAAAAGTTCAAAGAAAAAAGTTACAACAGCCGTGTTGAGCAGAATTTTGAGAAAGATGTTAAATCAAAACGCATATCACACAATAACTAGTTTTTTACACTCAGCACATATTCTTTACATTATATAACGTCCTTAGAAGCCGTAACAAATTTAACGCCGCTGACATTAACAGCGACATAACAGAGAGACCACAATGGCGTTAGCATTAATACACACATAGCAAGGTTACCTTTAACAGCGACTTAACAGTGCAACAACAACAACGCTGTCTGTTAACAGATCCTTAAAAGTAAAAAGTTAACAGAGCGTTCGCCCTGACTAGCTGATATAACAGCCTAACATACGGTCACCAAACGCGCCAGGTTCTTCAAAGATCTAACATTACCTGCCATCGTGACGTTTTAGTAGAATATTATTATGCGTTTTTTTCCTGCTGCTTCACCTTACAAAGTTGCTATTGTATATGCAGGCAGGACGTTGCGCAGGTATTGCTAAGGTCATTGTACAAGGCAATAAACACTTAGATCAGCCAATGTTGTGAGTGTAATTTGCACAGCAACGCCTCCTCTTGTAGGTTTTATACTCCTTTTTGACATTTCGACTATAAAAAAACAGACGAGTTAAGCCAACAGCACATTTACACAGCCATCGCGAAGCGAAGAGGTTCAAGCAAGAGCCAAAAGTGCATTAAAAATTGTTAAAACCAAATACTAAAATAAGCACAAGAAGTTGCAAATTTAAATAACAGTGTTAATAGAAAAAGTGAAACAGAACAAAAATGACCGAAATGATGGATGTGTGCGTGCCCGAAGTTGGGCTTAATATGGTTAGTTCAGCTACACTTAGTATTAAAAAATCAAGAAGTAGAAAAAAGCGAGTAATTAAGATAAAAAAATGTTTGTGTAAAGGCGAAGAAGGGAAGCATAACGAAAAGCAAAAAAATTTCGTAGTAAAAATGTGAATTTTCGAAACACAAAAATTAGGATCTGCATATATTTATTTATAAATGGCTTTACTTCTTCAACAGAACCAAACAAACGAGAGTTTTGGAAAACTGTTTAAAACCATTACTATACTATTATAATATTCAAACCACTAATAATCAATTTTTTTTCCGCTTACAGATGAATCAAACATGCAAAGTATGCGGTGAGCCAGCCGCCGGTTTCCACTTCGGAGCTTTCACATGCGAGGGCTGCAAGGTAAGTTGTCAAGAAAAACGCCGAAAAACTTAAAAAAAATGCTGAAAGACGCGAACAAGTTCTATTTGAGATTTTAGAATCAAAAACTATAACATACTCAGAATAAAATTGAATTAAAAACTTTCGCTCTAATAACATAAAACAACAAACCGCTCACAATTTATTAATAAATGACACCCCTTCATCTCTTCTAATCTACAGTCCTTCTTTGGTCGCTCGTACAACAATCTCTCGTCCATAAGCGAATGCAAGAATAACGGTAAGTGCGTGATCGATAAGAAGAATCGCACTACCTGCAAAGCGTGTCGCCTACGCAAATGCTACACCGTTGGCATGTCCAAGGGCGGCTCACGTTATGGCCGCCGTTCCAACTGGTTCAAAATACACTGTCTGCTGCAGGAACAGCAACAGCAAGCTATGGATATCGCCAACAAAGCTGCAGCTGCCGGCGGTAATGTCGCCGCTGCACCCAACGCCGCTGGATTCGGTGATATGGCCGCCGCTGCGGCTGCTGCCGCCAAACAACACATGCAATCATTGAATCCACACATGGCCACCGCTGGCGGTTTGCTCGGCTATCCAGGCTACCAATTTCCTGATATGATGGCACAGGCTGCGCCTTTCATGTCTGCTGCGGCACGTCATCCCGCCACCGATGCCACATTCTTCAACATGATGAATTCACTGCCGAATATGGGCGCAGCACAGTCTGCCTTTCAGCTGCCGCCACATTTGTTATTCCCCGCCGCCGCTGCTGCGGCCGCTTATCATCCAAATGCCGCCGCTGCTGCTGCAGCAGCTGCTGACGCTGCCTACCGCACCGAAATGTATAAACATCGTCAGTCTGTGGATTCGGCGGCCTCTGGTGATTCGGCACAACGCTTTTCGCCACAAATTGCTGCTGCCGCTGCGGCTGCTACCGTGGAACAACAAATGCGTGAACAGCAGGAAGCGACACGTCACTCACCGGAACTGTGTGTTTCGGGCGGCGATGAAGATGAGGATGATGAATTGGATGTGCATTCACCGTCACCTGGTATTGTGGGCGCACAAGCGCAACAGCAAATCTACCAACAAATGCAAGAACAACAACAGCAACACCAAATTCACAGCCCGGTGGCGATACGCGCATCACCGCTCAGCAGCGCACCACTGTGCGTGCCCGTGCCGACCTCTGCGCTCACACCTAACTCCGTGAATTCGCCAGCACACCAACCCAGCTCACCAGCGCCAACAGTCACCGAGACTGCTGCGCTCTCGTTCGCCGCCAAAATGCAATCACTCTCACCTGTCTCCGTGTGCTCAATTGGCGCAGAGAGCACACAGCAGCAGCACAGCGTTATGGACGCGCAGGATGGCCCCATGGACCTTAGCATGAAGCCAGTCAGCTCCGCATCACGTGCGTCGACGCGGCTTAGCGGCGATTGTGACATGAACTGCGAGTTGAGTGAGGAGGAGGCAGCAATGTTGGATGCACGTCGCAAGTACTTTCATTACAACAGCGATCACAGTGAGTCCGATACTTCGTCAGATGGTAGCAGCGCCGTCGCGATCGCCAACAAGCGTCAGAAGATGATCGATGAGGGCTACAATTCTGCGGGCTACGCATCATCGCATGGTTCAACAGTGTCAACGTCGTCCGCGACCAGTATGCATGGGATATTTGTATGCGTTTAAATTGTACACATACATATATACGCATGCACATTCACACCTGCTTGGCGCCGGCGCTGCGCGGTGAAAAATAGTGTCGCTGTGGGCGGAGCTCACTCATAAGCGCGCGAGTGCTCTGAGCCACGCTTATTCAGCCGTCGCCAATAAAGCTGTCATTTGTTGCTGTTGTTGTCAAAGTGGTTTTGTGGTCTTTGATCGGCGTAACTGTTGCAAGAAATGCAAATCAGCGCATACCAACGCACACGTACACGTTGTTGTTTAGAGGCCGCTCTGCTCTCCAAAGCTTCGAGCGAGTTTGTACGCCTACACACATGTTGCTGGAGAACGCGCTAGCCTAACGGTTATAGTTGCTTGCCGTATTAGATGGCGATCTCGCAAACGCACACACACCTTATATCTATATCTCGCTCTCTTACACTCTCTCTTTTTGTAAACGCGCTAAGCAAGCTTTTGCATATGTGTTGAAACGGGATAGCAACACAACGTCAGCAATTGGTGTGGAACATAGCAGCAATTGGTGTGCTCAATATACACACACGCATGTACATGTGTGTGTAAATCAGATCCAAATATTTAAATATAATTGATATCAATCGCAATTTAGTCGCATTTAGTCGCTTTTAATTTAATTAATGCAAATTTTAAATGAAGACATTCCAGCTAGTTATGTAAATGTTTAGTTTAATGCCAGCAAAGCAATAGCAAAAAGCTGCAATTATCATAATAATTAATTTAAGTAAGTATACTTAAGCAATTTCTGTAAATAATTACCTTTTAAGTTGAGCAGTTCTATTTTATCTTACTGATTTGCTATATATGTTTATATATGTATTTTTGCACATATTGTATTTATTTGCACATTGGCACAAAAATTGTAAATATTTATATTTTAAGTGATTTTTTTGTTATAAGCTAAAATTATTGCAATTAAACAAAACCAAAATTTTTACAAAACATAAAAGTTCATAGTCTCTCTTGAATGTTAGTCCCTCAGCCTGCTAGTTAGTTCTGTATATGTTTGTTTAGAGCTAGGTCAAATCAAAGTAATTTATATAAAAAAAAATTAAGTAAATTTTTAAAATTATATAAATTTTTTTTAAATAAAGGAAAGTTAAAAAAAAATCAAAATAATTTTTCTTTTAGAATGCAACTCTTATATGGTGGTTTTGGATATTTGAGAAATTTGATAAAAAAAATTCATATCGTATTTTGCAGCTTAAACTTTCCAGATTATATCAATAAGAGTATTTTTCAAATTTTTCATTATATCCGAAGATATAGACATTTAAGTGGGCTGTGCTGAAACTCTTAACTTTAAACGGGTTCATTTTGCAACTAGTTTTTGCAATAAATAAGTAAAAATTAAGCCTTGATTCTCTTCTTCTTCTGATATATATATAGTGAAATATAACTTAAATGTCGTCTAGCTAATAATCCAAACTAGTCTACGACTATGATATGAAGGCACTGAAAACAATTCTTTTCAAAAGGCTAGTCTACAATCTTTGAGAAATACTTACAAAGCGACATACTTGTAGTCAGCTTCAAGAGAAGTTATTGCCGACGTTGGAATCAGTTTTTGTTCGAGTATATAATCGAAGTTCTCACAAAAAATATTTCTGGTTAAGAAAAAAACTTTAAATAGATTACGGATTCTCTCTCTAACTATATGTTATTAATTTTTATACCCTGAACAGGGTATATTGATTTTGCCACGATGTTTGTAACACCCGAAAAAAGACGTCGGGACCCTATAAAATTATGGTATACCTAAATAATCAGTGTGACTAACATAGTCGTTATAGCCATGTTTGTCTGTCTGTCTGTCTCTCTGTATGTACGTGAATTTGTCCCTCAGTTTTTAAGATACCGATCCGAAACTTTGCACACGCCCTTTTCCTTTCAAGAAGCTACTCATTTGATGCAACCGTCGATATCGGACGTCTATAGCATATATCTACCATACAAACTGAACGTTAGGAATCAAGTCCTTTAATGGACCCCTGTTTCATTGTAAAAGTTATATCGAAATATGGCATGGGTTATTGCCTAAGACAACGGTACAATCTCAGCATAAATTGTTCAGATCGTATTGCGAGAGTATAAAATGTTCTGTTAGTTTCGAACTTGGCCGTTCTTTACTTGTTTATTCCGATTTAAATTTTTTGTTCAAATTTTAACCCAAATTTATGACAGTTTCCTATTACTAAAACTTTTTTAAAGCCTTTTGCCTAGATATAAGTTTTTTGAGTTTGGAGTATTATTGTCGACACATTTTATAAAATATAAAAAAACGCTATTTTAATTATCTCTCGAAAGTGCAACTGCATGAAGTCTCTAGTTGAATGGTACATATGCTGCAATGTACAAGTAATTAAATTCACTCTGGGCAACGATCTGGTAACCATGGTTCTGTGAGTCATATGCATGCATAGTCTACAATGATATCCTCGACATACAATATATCCATTCAAACCATGCACTAATAACCAACTAACAAGGCGGCAGTGAAACTAACGCAAAAGACTTAAGCAACAAACTCGCTAATATAGTCTGCTGCTATATCCGTGTGAAGTAAATCAAACTGATTTATGTAACACCGATTCACTTTAGCCACCACAATAACAACAACTTCAAGTAAATATGCAAACATTTCAGCAGCTATATTGCTGTTGTTGTGCCGCGCTGCCACCATGGCTGGAACAAGTGCACGCCAAAGCCTGTTTAAGAATAAATATTTAATGCCGCAGCAGTGTACATTATTTGTGTTACAGTTGCTGCTGCTGTCCGCCCCATTTGCTGTTGCTATTGCTGTTTTGGCATGCACGTGTTCTTGCTGCTACCGCTAGTTGTCGCTGCTGCGGGGCATGGCGACGCGCCACAACTCTTTCACAACTTAATGAAGCGATTAAAATTCCACACCGCACTGCGAATGACTTTTATATGTGTTAATATTAAGTTTATTATTTGAAGCAGCACGTGGTTGTTTTGGGCAACGGGCAGCAAGCGGCAGCGCCACGCAGCTACAAGCAGGAGCCAATAAGCAGCTGCGCGCCGCTTTACTATTTACTTAAATTTCTTACAAAAGTTTATGTGTATGTGCTAGGTCTTCCTCTTGCCACATCACCCACACACATACACATGCGTAAATATAAATCTACCGCTATAAAGCTTTTGCTGCGTGTGTCTGCGGCCTGCTGCTCGCGTCAAGCTGCGCATAACAAATAGTTGCGCCACTGTAGCCTCGCATTCTTAGCTGCTGCCATGTGTGGTTCTTCAGCAGCAAACGCGTTTAACTCTATGGCGTTTTTATGATATTGTGTTGTGAAATAAAACTGTCTGCTGACCAGTTGACTGTTTGACAACGAGTTCCACTGCGCTCAAGTGGCAGCGCATTTAATAAAAATTTAATAAAGTCGCCATTGTGCTTGGCACAGCGTATGACAGCGAAAACGTATTATGACCTAAAGAGCTTTAATTGAGTCAAATTGATTTGCGCTGGTGTCAGCTGCACACTTTCGTTAAGAATTTTATAAAAATTTAAGGTTTTTAGATATACTAATTAGAAATTGATCAAATTTTCGTATTTAAAGAGAATTTTTTCTTTACGTAAAACACTCTAATTCGAAAGGCAGTACATGGGTTGATATTTTATGCAATAAGAAAAGAGCAGCAGATAACAGCTTCATTCTCAAGTATGAGTCTCAATAGAACCTCAGCATATAATACAGTCTTTAAGCTTCACAGGGCTGACTGTCCGAGTAGATGCGCTCATCTTTAAAAGGTGTATACATTTAGCCCACTGCTGCCTACTGTCTAAAATGGTCTCAGAATATACTGATGTGATCAGTTAGCATTAGGACATTTAACCCTATCTGTGGCTTTGCAGTTGCATATTATCTAAGAAAATATCAAACATTGTGAATTTATTCTTAAAATAAAGCAATTAAAAGCTCTGATATTACTTATGTTGTCATGTAAGCATTAACCAGGATTTCCGTTTGGCAGATCTTGCTGTTTCCTTATGTGTTGTGTTCATATTTATATAGCATATGAAAAAAAACACATTTTAACATATTTGCGTAAAAATTTTTATTATTGCCTTTGAAATTGGCTCCTGCGCTAATACAAGTATAGACAATTATGCCAACGTTAACTTTCCATACACTTGTTATTAGCTTTGGCTGGCATGGTGTTCATGGCCTTCAGCGATTTTTTTCGACTTGGTGTTTATTCATGGAGCACCATTGGTTAGATTGTTAGACACTTTTGACATCACATTTACTTCACTTCACTTCAGCCCTTGAAATTGATCACGTTTTGAACTCCACTAACTAACTATTTGCCTTGGTTACTTTTTTAGAGCTCGGGCGGCCTTTTTTATGCCTTTCGAACTCATTCAACCAATTGAATTTTGAGTGCCCGAATTGCCTTTCAACCCGCCGCATATCCTTTCAACTCAATTTATAATTTTATATTTCCTATTTACTTAGCACATGCATACTATTTACCTCTACATAGTTACATATAAACATATCTACACTCGCTTTACCCTTTGAGAACGTGAGCGGTGAAACAACTAATAAGACTAAGCAGTAGAATGGACGGTGATGATTGCACTCAAACAATTTCCATGCGCATATTTGCTCAGCCCACAATAACAACAATAACAATAAAGCAAGAGACGCAGAGTGACCTAAGAAAATACGCGCGTAAGTACAATATATGTATACATATGTGTGTGTATGTATGTATGTATGTGTGCGCTCGGCAAATAAAATAATAATGGTAATAATAATAAAAGCAAAGCATTAGATGGTAAAAATCGGTGCATTTAACTGGTTAAAGGAAGAGCTAAAAATAGCATTGACTCGAGAACACGTGAGAGGTCCACGCTAGAGGCTGCTGCGTTATGTTATGCTGTGTTATGCTAAGTTATGGTACTTTGGCAAAAGGGTAAATAAAAGAAAATTCAAATTGAAGGCATAAAAGTAAGGCAGTCGATAATTAAAAAAAACGAGAAAAATACAAAAAAAAAATCTTTGAAAAAATAAACAACTAAAAAAACTACAAAAAAATATAACTCAAATTGGTCCAATATTTACAAAACATGATCACCGCATTGTGGCGGCTTATTAGAACATCAATAATGGCTTCGCTCGAGCATAGGCTTCAAATGCTTTTGCTCTAAGCGAACAAGTGATTTCTTAATTTTTTTTCTTTTTTGCATTCCGCTAGCACCTAACACTCATTGTTGTTGTTCTTCTTACTTAACACAACTATTTTTTTCATGGCTTTGTTATTGTTCTTTGCCTTGTTTGCCTTCAGCTTTTTCAACACTTTTTTTTCTTCTTTAGCTTGGGCATTTGCTCTTTGTACGCGCCGCCACGCCAAAGGATGCTTTTGTTTCCTTTGCGTTTGCACTAATTTAATAGCCGCTTTGAAGGCGTTCAATGCTGATGGAAGAGGCTCAAAGTGGCTTGCTGCTCGAGTGGTTGGGAAAAAAGACTGCCGATTGTTTGACAAATGTAAACAAGATCGTTTTCGCCGTGGTACTAATGTACTGTAATTTATTTGACCGAGCACTTTTAGTGCGCTGCCGCATTTTTCAATACATAAATTGATATTGTGAGCAGCAGTGCATCGATAAATATAGAGAATTATTTATTTTCCAATGTTATATTGTATAAAAATCAAACTTATCAAGTAAAGGCATGCCAAATATATTTTCGGATATAATAAAAAAATTGTGATTTATTTCGGCAGGTGGCAACTCTGTTCCAAATCCTATCTATATTGAAAAATGACTTCATTAAAAACGATTCAAATAGTTTCTGGACAGCTTTCTTGGTGCTTAATAGATGTTATAATATGTTATGTACTTTTACTTTTTCCAACATTTGGCAACACTGTTCTAAAATACGCACTAAATTGAAAAAAAAGCATTCGGGAATAATTTGGCAACTTGGTTTAAAGACGATTCGAATACTTTCTGGAAAGGTCCTTAATGGATTTAGAATTCAAGGTACATTACCCAAATTCCCAAAAGATTTATTTTGCGGC